TTCCCTTCTGGACAAGAAAATTGAACGAACTGAAGATTAACTGAACTGTCACTTGATTTGCGTTTTCAGCCTTTACTAAGATACATGCAGCTATATTATCTTTACTCGCATCACAAAATAGATGAAGGCTTACCGCACATTCTTTCAGGATATTGACGTGCAGTCTGCGTGGTACTCTACACTTATTAAGGTAAAATACATGTTTATACCAGTTATGAAATCTAGAAAGTAAATCTAATGGTAGTTCTATGTCCCACGGAAGCTTACGAGTTCATGTTTCCTGTAATATTAATGTTGGTGATAACATTGCTGGTGCTGTATACCCAATTGGATCAAATATTTTCTGTGTTATAGACAATAATTCTCTCTTGGTAACGTTCTTGATATCACTGCACAAAGGTAAATTATTTGTGTTGCAGTACAGTTCATCAGTAACCGTGTCCCAATTTAAACCTAATATAGACAATATTTGCTCGCCTGTTTCATTGACACCATTTGACGTTACCCACATTCTTAGATTGAATTTCCCTACCTGCATTATTGGTTTAGAATCTCTTATAAATTCGTCAACCTCCTGTTCTGAATCAAGACTAACCAACAAATTATCTACATAGAACGATTTTCCTAATAATTCTGCTGTTTTAACTAAGTCTTCATTTTTCATTTTATTTATATGGTACTGTAATGTGGCAGATAACAAAAATGGATTTGAAGTTAAGCCAAAAACTACTCTACAATGTCTGTAGGTTATGATATCATCATCTTCAATCCATAAAAATTTTAGATAATCTCTGTTGAAAGGAACAAGACTAATCTGTAAAAATGCTTTTTCTATATCAGCTGTAATACCTATTGACCCAGTACGAAAATTATAAATTAAATTTGGTATGAGATCAATCATATTAATACCCTTCTCTAAACAAGCATTTAAACTAACTCCCTTTTTGTCAACAGTTGACGCATCAAAGACGGGTCTCACCTTAGTAGTGAGATTTGATTGTTTTATTACAGGTCTATGTGGCAAATAGTGACCGGCTTCTGGGTTGGCGTTTACCTTCTCTATTATGCCTAAATCTACCCATTCTTTGAAAACCTTGTCATATATTTCAAAATTACCTGAGTACTTTAATTTTCGGACCATTGACTCTAATCTCTGTTTAGCTTTATAATAATTGGGTAATAAATCTTCAGAACTAGTATTGAAAGGAAGTTGGACTTCATACCTGTTATCGCTAGTTATCCGAATAGTTTCCTGAAATGTAGTCAATGTGTCCGCAGTTATCTCTGCCTTGGTTTTCACCTCTGCAGGATCTCGTATCCCTAATGTTTCAAGTGACCAGTGCTCATTTAAGATACTGTCACATGTACAGTTTAAATTGGATGTAATACTGTTGTTGAAATTTTCACTTACCATTTTTCCTTGAAAGGTCCGACTTAGATTTTATTGCTACTAGTCCCTCCTTGAGCTGGATCATATTTTCAGAATTGAAACCTGTGAATAGAAAACCTAAACAATCCGCCCCAATTAATAATCCTATCTCTGTTATGGTATTTGTTCCGTCTGTCAATGTTACATTATGTTTGCTTAACATTATATTGAGTTGCATATCATTAACATTAATCTTAGGTACATAACCACAAATGTTATTTTGGCTGAGGGCCATTATATCTAATTTGAAATCATTATCTATACTATTCACAGTTATTTTGAATATATTATGTTCAGCAGTCTTAGTTTCTATTCCTCCAAACAAATTAAGGCCTAAAAACTCTTTCTTGCAGGGTAGGATTCCCAACTTCTTAGTAACATCTTCCCTGATGTATGTGCGCTGTATCGAACAAAGCACGTACTGGTAATTTCTTGTTATTGTGTTGGATTTCTACAATCAGGGTTTGCAGTAGTATCTCTTCTTTCTTAAAAGTAGCTGATAATGATGTAGCTGGCTCCGGTTTATCATATCGCTTCTCTTCAACTTTTTGTTCGTTACCGTCGAATATCTTCTTACACATCAAACATTTCACAATTCTTTTCTCTTTCCCAAATTTTTAACAATTCTTGTGGTAAAGTAGATTCTACCATGGGTAATAGGAATGCAGCGTATTTGTATTTTGTTACCCCTAGCGCTTCTAAAGACCATAGTTGAGCACTAAGTGTGTCATACAACTGAGAAATCTTATTATACGAACCTTTATTAATCACTATTGCTAGTATTTCCGAGACATAAACCCAGTGGCGTAGGTAGGTAATCTAGGGCCCTGGGGCAAATAAAAAAATGGGGCCCACTGCTATTAAAACTGGTAAGGTTTTTTGAAGTTTATCATCAACTCTTTTTCGTGCATGGCAGGTAATAAAACTATTAAACATTAACAACATAAATTACAATTATTTTTATACTTGGTGTTGGTATTGGGCAATAAAACGAAATAGAAAAGATTTAAGGGTTTATTATATATTTATTTATTCATAGATCGTTGCACCAGCTTACTGTTATTTAACCTATCGCCATGCAAGCTATTTACAAAAATAATCAATAGAAATATTTTGTCCAGAAGTACTTGCAGAAGGCGAACTTAAAAACTTGTCAATTTTGGGAATTTTTGTTTACTTTCTCCTTTCTTGGCGTTGTTTGTATAGAAAAAAAAAGAATTTCTTTTTTTCCATAATATTAGTTTTCTAATTTATTTATGCAATATTTATGTAAGATTGTACTCAAGTAGATACTCATTGTTCACTGACAACGTTACAAGTAAAAGGAAAGCGAAACGTAATTATACGATACAAGACGTCGTCGTTGGGGAATCCCCGGCAAACATATTATCGCCGCCAGTGTTTTTTTTTTACGGTTTAAAAAATGACAAAAAAACATCACGTAGTTAATGGACGGCCCCCTACCGCATGTGACTTGTATTCTTCACGGTATTTTGAGTTATATAATATAGTGATTAGCCGAAATCTATAGATTTCTTTACGTAACTATGTATATACGTACTATAATCAAATAAAATTGAACTTTTGTATGGACCAGTACAAAAAAATTATTGACATACGCTTACTTACTACATTAACTTTAATATACATTAACTTTTTAACCATTCTCGAAAAAAAGTCTTGACTCGAAGTTCACAATCGCGAATCACTAAAACGCATATCCATAAATAATAATATGCAGATATTGATATCCGACAAATTGATGAAAACATTAATAACACTGTCAACCCACACAAATAATTTAGGGGAATTCTCTTTTTATAACTTTGGAATTTCTCAGAACTGAGTTGCCATGATTAAAATTTTCAAAAGTTGAGTTCGATTGAGATTTTCTGGTAAAGATTCAAGGGCCCCCTGAGCTTGAGGGCCCCAGGGCACTGCCCCGCCTAGCCCCTTGGTAGCTACGCCGCTGCATAAACCCGTACCAAGAGTTCTTCTATAGTATATCGATCCGTAATCTGTTGTAGACACTCTTTATAGGCAGTAGCTGGGAAGCCCTTTACCAATCTTCTGACTTCAGTATTCTCTTTCATTGACTGAAGTAAATATTGATATTTTTCCGTATCTGTCAATGTGATATCGCTATCTATTTTTGAGAATTGGCTCCAAAATGCTAGCCATCTTTTTATATCACCATCGAATGGTTTCAATTATTATTTTGGCAATCTCAAGTTCTATTTCCTTTTTTTCCGTTGCCTTCTTCAGATACGTATTGGGCATTTTTATATTTATTTTCCGCCAATTTTAAATTTATTTTCAACCATCTTGTATGGTATGCGTCATTATCTTCCAGTTCTTTTTCTAATGTATTTTCGTCAAAATCTGTACTCATCAGATTTTCCTAAATTTTTATATTTAACTGGTTAAGGTTTTTCTCGGTTTCATGTAATTTTTTGAAAATAATTTTTATTTTTTCTTCATTTTCGGGTGAAACCTTTGACGCCATAATGGTTACCAATTCGTTTGCATTTTTGGTAAATAATCTTCTCACTACACTTCTTTCTTTTCTTATTGCTTCCATTATATTTGTTTGTCCTGGCAGGGTCGCCACTTGTTAGTTTTGCTGTAGTAAGAAATAATATCAAATCATTCGGAAGCCTTTTTTCATCTATATTTTATATATTTTTTTAAATCGACAAACTTCATAAGTATTTTATTGTTTACTCTTTGATTTACAACATAAATATTATAAAATTTTGATTACACACATTTAATCAAAAGGACTTCCATAATGAGAAAGTATTTTAAGAAAAAAAGAAAACACTGAAAAGCACCTCACTAGATGGCGACTATAGTAACAGTAGATTTTTGCAGGAAACAAATGGACCAAAAACAGTAATTTTCGTTCCTTTTATCTAACATATTATGAAAATTGCTAAATTCGAACTTTAGATATCAATACAAACAAATACGAATAAAAATAAATAGAATATGAGTTGTTTAATGAGTTTTGAAAATTAATTTACTTTTATACATGTAAAAAATCCGGAATGTTTGTCATGAAGAAATCAAGAAAGTACCGTAGCGACATCTCGTTTGATTTTGAATGCTAATTTTTTTTAAATTCCTCATTAGCTTTTAAGTTCTTAGTAGCAATTAAAAAGTAGTTTTGTATATATTTTGTTTTACTTTGTCTAAATCTACCAATAGTTGGTAGTTAATTAGTTGGTTGGTCTTTGTTCAGCGTATTTTAGAATGGCACCATTCAATTAAAGGGCTAACGGCCCAATCGTTCAGCTGATTATACAATTTGGCTATTATTTATCGTCAAAATAAATCAGTTTCCCAAACTGATTTATTATCAGAGCAGCACGCTCGCTGTGTATTACATCTCAAGTGTTTATTTCTAGGCTAAAATGTCTTGTTTTTTACATGTTTACTCAAATTTTGATGTCATGTCTGGTACCCGTTTTATTAAAAAGTAAATAAAGCCTTGGTGAAGGCCGTGTATGACAAAAAAAAAAAAGAGAAATTGTCTATGATTTTTTACGTCATCAGTCGCCATATTGGCCAATGACAAAACGCCGGCCTTTTCCGCCTCGGAGCGTCTGTTGTTTCAACGCGGAAAAATTGGTAAATGATGGCAGCGAATAATTATTTTGGGTTTACTCACGGAGGAACCCAATATGGGTAAGTAAAATATTCTAGATGCGACATTTATATTACTTTGTCAATAAATAAAGATTTAAGTTGGGATTGATGGGCAGCCTTGTGCTCATGTTCCTGGCCTAGTCAAAATGGCGTCTTGCGGTATTGATCGAGTGATTTTTCCTTTATACTGAAAATATTAGTGACTTGTTACGCTATGTAATTTTAGCGCTGCGACTGCTGGGGCTGCGTATGGTGGCCAGACAGGGTACGCCGTAGCTCCTGCAGCAACTGCTGCGACTTACGGAACACAACGTGCCGCAGCCACAGGCTACGACACTGCATATCAGGCCGCGGCAGCTACTCAAGGTGAGTCTTATTCTATTAAAAAGCTGCGCCATTGATATTAGTTAATTGCTATTTGTTATCAAAACAATGTGGTGATACACAACCAGCTATTATTACGTCGTACTGTGTAGGTATGAGATTCTACAAAATCAATAATTCTGCAGCATGATTTGAACAATCCAGCTAATGGTTACAACGGCGTAGTTATGTACTACTACAGCTGAATGTAGTCTAATCACGATGAAACTGAAATTAGCAGCTACCAGCTGACAGCCGCAGGGACGAAACGTAGAAAAAAAGACCCGGGCCCACAACTGTATTTTTTTTTAAAACATGATTGACTATTCCCCGGATAATAAGTTCAATAAAAAGAGAAAAATAAATTCAGGACGGATAATAATAACCACGAAAAAAAAAACTCCACCCTTCTCTATTTTTCAGTAATTTTTATCAATAAAGATAGACTTTTTGAGATGTGAAAAATCATATCTTTATTTCTAGCCAACAGATTCTAATAAAACTTGGTCTTTAACTTCATTATGATGTAAGGGAAAGGTAGTGTCGAGGGCAAGAGGGATACTTTGCTCCTTCTTTAATTTCCAGCAATTTTTATCAATAAAGATTGACTTTTTGAGATGTGAAAAATCATATCTTTATTTCTAGCCAACAGATTCTAATAAAACTTGGTCTTTAACTTCATTATGATGTAAGGGAAAAGTAGTGTCGAGGGCAAGAGGGATACTTTGCTCCTTCTTTAATTTCCAGCAATTTTTATCAATAAAGATTGACTTTTTGAGATGTGAAAAATCATATCTTTATTTCTAGCCAACAGATTCTAATAAAACTCGGTCTGTTACTTCATTATGATGTAAGGGAAAAGTAGTGTCGAGGGCAAGAGGGATACTTTGCTCCTTCTTTTTATTCCAGCAATTTTTATCAATAAAGATTGACTTTTTGAGATGTGAAAAATCATATCTTTATTTCTAGCCAACAGATGCTAATAAAACGTGGTCTGTTACTTAATTATGATGTACGGAAAAAGAAGTGTCGAGGGCAAGAGGGATACTCTGCTTCTTCTTTAATTTCCAGCAATTTTTATCAATAAAGATTGACTTTTTGAGATGTGAAAAATTATATCTTTATTTCTAGCCAACAGATTCTAATAAAACTTGGTCTGTTACTTCATTATGATGTAAGGGAAAAGTAGTGTTGAGGGCAAGAGGGATACTCTGCTTCTTCTTTAATTTCCAGCAATTTTTATCAATAAAGATTGACTTTTTGAGATGTGAAAAATTATATCTTTATTTCTAGCCAACAGATTCTGATAAAACTTGGTCTGTTACTTCATTATGATGTAAGGGAAAAGTAGTGTCGAGGGCAAAAGGGATACTCTGCTCCTTCTTTTTATTCCAGCAATTTTTATTAATAAAGATTGACTTTATGAGATGTAAAAAAATCATATCTTTATTTCTAGCCAACAGATTCTAATAAAACTTGGTCTGTTACTTCATTATGATGTAAGGGAAAAGTAGTGTCGAGGGCAAGAGGGATACTCTGCTTCTTCTTTAATTTCCAGCAATTTTTATCAATAAAGATTGACTTTTTGAGATGTGAAAAATTATATCTTTATTTCTAGCCAACAGATTCTGATAAAACTTGGTCTGTTACTTCATTATGATGTAAGGGAAAAGTAGTGTCGAGGGCAAAAGGGATACTCTGCTCCTTCTTTTTATTCCAGCAATTTTTATTAATAAAGATTGACTTTTTGAGATGTAAAAAATCATATCTTTATTTCTAGCCAACAGATTCTAATAAAACTTTGTCTGTTACTTCATTATGATGTAAGGAAAAAGTAGTGTCGAGGGCAAGAGGGATACTCTGCTCCTTCTTTTTATTCCAGCAATTTTTATCAATAAAGATTGACTTTTTGCGATGTGAAAAATCATATCTTCATTTCTAGCCAACAGATTCTAATAAAACTTGGTCTGTAACTTCATTATGATGTAAGGAAAAAGTAGTGTCGAGGGCAAGAAGGATACTCTGCTTCTTCTTTAATTTCCAGCAATTTTTATCAATAAAGATTGACTTTTTGAGATGTGAAAAATTATATCTTTATTTCTAGCCAACAGATTCTAATAAAACTTGGTCTGTAACTTCATTATGATGTAAGGAAAAAGTAGTGTCGAGGGCAAGAGGGATACTCTGCTTCTTCTTTAATTTCCAGCAATTTTTATCAATAAAGATTTACTTTTTGAGATGTGAAAAATTATATCTTTATTTCTAGCCAACAGATTCTGATAAAACTTGGTCAGTTACTTCATTATGATGTAAGGGAAAAGTAGTGTCGAGGGCAAGAGGGATACTCTGCTCCTTCTTTTTATTCCAGCAATTTTTATCAATAAAGATTCAGTTTTTGAGATGTGAAAAATTATATCTTTATTTCTAACCAACAGATTCTGATAAAACTTGGTCTGTTACTTCATTATGATGTAAGGGAAAAGTAGTGTCGAGGGCAAGAGGGATTCTCTGCTCCTTCTTTTTATTCCAGCAATTTTTATCAATTAAGATTGACTTTTTGAGATGTGAAAAATCATATATTTATTTCTAGCCAACAGATTCTAATAAAACTTGGTCTGTTACTTCATTATGATGTAAGGAAAAAGAAGTGTCGAGGGCAAGAGGGATACTCTGCTCCTTCTTTAATTTCCAGCAATTTTTATCAATAAAGATTGACTTTTTGAGATGTGAAAAATTATATCTTTATTTCTAGCCAACAGATTCTAATAAAACTTGGTCTGTTACTTCATTATGATGTAAGGGAAAAGTAGTGTCGAGGGCAAGAGGGATACTCTGCTCCTTCTTTTTATTCCAGCAATTTTTATTAATAAAGATTGACTTTTTGAGATGTAAAAAATCATATCTTTATTTCTAGCCAACAGATTCTAATAAAACTTGGTCTGTTACTTCATTATGATGTAAGGAAAAGTAGTGTCGAGGGCAAGAGGGATACTCTGCTTCTTCTTTAATTTCCAGCAATTTTTATCAATAAAGATTGACTTTTTGAGATGTGAAAAATTATATCTTTATTTCTAGCCAACAGATTCTAATAAAACTTGGTCTGTAACTTCATTATGATGTAAGGAAAAAGTAGTGTCGAGGGCAAGAGGGATACTCTGCTTCTTCTTTAATTTCCAGCAATTTTTATCAATAAAGATTGACTTTTTGAGATGTGAAAAATTATATCTTTATTTCTAGCCAACAGATTCTGATAAAACTTGGTCAGTTACTTCATTATGATGTAAGGGAAAAGTAGTGTCGAGGGCAAGAGGGATACTCTGCTCCTTCTTTTTATTCCAGCAATTTTTATCAATAAAGATTCAGTTTTTGAGATGTGAAAAATTATATCTTTATTTCTAACCAACAGATTCTGATAAAACTTGGTCTGTTACTTCATTATGATGTAAGGGAAAAGTAGTGTCGAGGGCAAGAGGGATACTCTGCTCCTTCTTTTTATTCCAGCAATTTTTATCAATAAAGATTGACTTTTTGAGATGTGAAAAATCATATCTTTATTTCTAGCCAACAGATTCTAATAAAACTTGGTCTGTTACTTCATTATGATGTAAGGAGAAAAGTAGTGTCGAGGGCAAGAGGGATACTCTGCTCCTTCTTTAATTTCCAGCAATTTTTATCAATAAAGATTGACTTTTTGAGATGTGAAAAATTATATCTTTATTTCTAGCCAACAGATTCTAATAAAACTTGGTCTGTTACTTCATTATGATGTAAGGAAAAAGTAGTGTCGAGGGCAAGAGGGATACTCTGCTCCTTCTTTAATTTCCAGCAATTTTTATTAATAAAGATTGACTTTTTGAGATGTAAAAAATCATATCTTTATTTCTAGCCAACAGATTCTAATAAAACTTGGTCTGTAACTTCATTATGATGTAAGGAATAAGAAGTATCGAGGGCAAGAGGGATACTCTGCTTCTTCTTTAATTTCCAGCAATTTTTAACAATAAAGATTGACTTTTGAGATGTGAAAAATGATATCTTTATTTCTAGCCAACAGATTCTAATAAAACTTTGTCTGTTACTTCATTATGATGTAAGGAAAAAGAAGTGTCGAGGGCAAGAGGGATACTCTGCTTCGTCTTTAATTTCCAGCCAACAGATTAATTATTAATTACAAACTTAATTAAAATAACATAAATATATAATAGTACAAAGAATAAGGATAAAAAATACTTAAGAAAAAGAAAAATAGTTAAAACCTGGATAAAAAAAAATATTTTGACAAAAATACAAATAAGACTTCAGCAGCGAAATATTATAAGATTGATGAATGAAGAAAAAAAGGTTTTGTTATCTAAATTTTATGGATTTCTAGCTTATACCGACGGGGTTACAACCCAAAAAATCATAAGAACTATTGAGTAGTTAATAAAAATCGCAATAAAAAACAAAAAGAAACGAGTTTCCTTCGTGCCAATTTTCTCCCTTCCTTCTTGCATCATAACATAGTTCTGAATCAAATTTTATTAATATCTGATGGTAAGGAACAAAGTTATGACTTTTTTCATGGTCAAAAGTTGCTATTAATTAATAAAAATTATTAGAAAAAATGGAAGTGATCGAGTATCCCTTTCGTAACTTTGTCATCACTCGTATTGCATCATAACATAGTTCTGAATCAAATTTTATTAATATCTGATGGTAAGGAACAAAGTTATGACTTTTTTCGTGGTCAAAAGTTGCTTTTAATTAATAAAAAGTATTAGAAAAAATGGAAGTGATCGAGTATCCCTTTTGTAACTTTGTCATCACTCGTATTGCATCATAACATAGTTCTGAATTGAATTTTATTGATATCTGACGGTAAGGAACAAAGTTATGACCTTTTTCATGGTCAAAAGTGGCTTTTAATTAATAAAAAGTATTAGAAAAAATGGAAGTGATCGAGTATCCCTTTTGTAACTTTGTCATCACTCGTATTGCATCATAACATAGTTCTGAATTGAATTTTATTGATATCTGACGGTAAGGAACAAAGTTATGACTTTTTTCATGGTCAAAAGTGGCTTTTAATTCATAAAAATTATCAGAGAAAATGGAAGGAATCGAGTATCCCTTTTGTAACTTTGTCATCGCTATGATTGCATCATAACATAGTTCTGAATGAAATTTTATTAATATCTGATGATAAGGAACAAAGTTATGACTTTTTTCATGGTCAAAAGTGGCTTTTAATTAATGAAAATTATTAGAAAAAATGGAAGGAATCGAGTATCCCTTATGTAACTTTGTCAACACTGTAATTGCATCATAACATAGTTCTGAATTGAATTTTATTAATATCTGATGGTAAGGAAAAAAGTTATGACTTTTTCATGGTCAAAAGTGGCTTTTAATTAATAAAAATTATCAGAGAAAATGGAAGGAATCGAGTATCCCTTTTGTAACTTTGTCAACACTATAATTGCATCATAACATAGTTCTGGATTAAATTTTATTAATATCTGATGGTAAGGAACAAAGTTATGACTTTTTTTATGGTCAAAAGTGGCTTTTAATTAATAAAAATTATCAGAAAAAATGGAAGGAATCGAGTATCCCTTTTGTAACTTTGTCAACACTATAATTGCATCATAACATAGTTCTGAATGAAATTTTATTAAGATCTGATGATAAGGAACAAAGTTATGACTTTTTTCATGGTCAAAAGTGGCTTTTAATTAATAAAAATTATCAGAGAAAATGGAAGGAATCGAGTATCCCTTTTGTAACTTTGTCAACACTATAATTGCATCATAACATAGTTCTGAATTGAATTTTATTAATATCTGATGGTAAGGAACAAAGTTACGACTTCTTACATTTCAAAACCATGTCTTTGAATAAAATTTGTTGCATAAATTTGGAGATGAATGGGTCTCTTTTGTTTATAATTTTTTATGCTCATCTTCTCTTTATTATCCACTTTGTAAGTAGTTATTGATATTTTAAAATTTTATCGGGGGCGCGGGCCCCACTCCGCGTGTCGTCCCTGGCCTTGATCACCGCGTAGCTGCTAGTTTCAGCTTCATCTAATCACGCATGAGTTCCAATCTTAAATAATTTTGTATTATGTTGTACTGCTAATTACTGCCCTCAATTAGTATGTAAATAGTTTCAAGACAATTACAAAAAAAAACAAATTTTGATTAATATAAATTTAAGCATTAAATAATCCAGTCTTAAAATGCAGTCAATTAAATATACAATTTAAACTCTATATAATGACGCTAAAGGGACTGTGCATTTTATTGCGTTGTAGAGAGTTGTTGTTAAATGGAAAGTAGAAAATCAGAATTAGAAAAAGAAAATATTTCAGACTAGTGTAAGTAATTATGTACATAATAAAATAATCTTATTTGAACGCTATTGCATATAGTCTGTTATTTTTGTCTGACGTCTTTTGCTGCACTAGTAATTTTGTCGTATTTTTTAAATTATTTTATCCATATTACTACTACATATTAGTCATGGTCAACAACAGTCTACACTTGACCTAGACTACAACATGAGCTAAAATTGGCACAAAGCTTAATTTCTACAAGAAAAAAATAGTAGAAATGTGACTAGTGGGACATCGTTTTTTGACGTCGATTTTATATCATATTTAAAATCATGCATTTATTAAATTCTAGCTTACCCGGCGAACTTCGTATCGCCTTATACCTGTGTTGTTTAATCTTATATACAAACAGTGTCATGAATCGTGGAACGCATAAAAAATAGAATTATACAATTTGGTGCAGTCGGAACTGAAATCATGTTTTTATAAAATTATACTCTTTGTACATGTTGTAATAATTTTTGAAGTTTTATATTGGATCATAGACATTCTAACTAAAGCATCGATTTTCCGTGGAATGCCCTTAAATAATGCCCTTATATCAATAGACACAAAGTCAGTTGATATTGTAGGTATCTCATATACAATAGAAATTATAAAAGTTTGTTGAATACTTAGTTTATTGAAATAACGCTGTAATAATGCTTATTAAATTACGAAATTAAGAATGAGTACACAGAGATTGCTGAATGTGAACTAGTAATTTTTTAGGGTTTAAAACGCTGACCATGAGTAATGATGTTCGTTTTAAGCCTTGTTATTTATTAGTAGGGTAAAAAAAACAAAAAAGATAAAATCGTAATACTCGATATTAAAGTTACTTCAGTCGTCACATCAATTTCAAATGTGTCTTTCAGAAATGCATTCTGTTGTGGACGTAGCGTAGTGTAGGATAAGATGTAGGGTAGAGATGATAATACGGTATGAGAACGTGATGTGGTCCCCAGCAGCAGCGCACGCGCACGCGCACGCTGCGGCTGCGGCGGCGTCAGCGTACGACGCGAGCAAGTCCGCGTACTATCAGCAGGCCGCCGCCGCCTACCCTACTGCCGCGCCGCCGCAACCGCAGCCCGCCTACGACGCCACCGCCAAGCCCGCCTACTCCACGCCCGCCACCTACGCACAGGTTCAGGTTAGTTGTACGTCGGCGTACGACGCGAGCAAGTCCGCATACTACCAGCAGGCCGCAGCCGCCTACCCCACCGCCGCGCCGACGCAACTGCAGTCCGCCTACGACGCCACTACCAAGCCCGCCTATTCCGCGCCGACTTATGCACAGGTTCAGGTTAGTTGTCCGACCGTTTTTCTTAACTATCCTACTGGAGAGTTTTCCGGTTTCGAGAAGAAAAAACTTCTCAATGAAAAATGCTTAAAAATCCACTTTATCCCTGGTACTCTGAGAAGAACGAACCTATTTGGTAACGTAAATTAAACAAAAAAAAAAAATACATGAATTCCTAAAAAGCTAAACTAAGCTAAGTTTGATAATCTCATTAATATCTTTTAATAGTGTCGCCTGGCCACCGTCAGGTTATGGATTTGAATTCTGTGTCAATAATCTAAGACGAATTCAAACGTTATCTTATGATCTGATGGATATTCAGGGCGGGCAGGGCGTTCGCGCAGGCGGCGGCGCGAAAGCGGCATACGGCGGCGTGTACACGCACACGCATACACACACGCACACCACTGCTGCCACCTCCTACCCCGCGCAGCCTTACACTGCGCCCACGCAGCATCAACCAGCCAGTGAGCATACATGTCACTTACCACAGAACATAGAGAGAGAATAGAAGTAGTAAGTGGGCGGGGCACGCGTCGCTGGCATATGCGCTTTTACTCATATGACGCCCTTTCCTCGGTTTTATGTTTGCCAGTCGTTCGTCAATCGTCGAGTGGTGATTTTACAGATTTTTTCTATAAAAAATGCCGTTTTGTGCTATTATCACTTGCAAAAAGCAAAGCAAAGTATACAATCTAACTAATGCAAACATTTCCTTTCACTGGTAAGTACAATTTTAGTGCTAAAATATAAAAAACGTAATAATTTGACACAATGTTAAATAAAATATACATTGATTGCTCAAACCAACATCAATGTTTCTGACCCCATTACTAAACAGCAATGTAAATCATTTTGTGCACTTTTGCAAAAAATAGTGCTGTGCCTCCATTTGTCTGAAATGTACCGATAGGCTGCTGCTGCTCGGAATCGTATTGTTAATTATATAGATCGTAATCGATAACTAAAACATATTTATTTAGAGCTTTTCTTTCATCATTTCATAACAACGTTATCGATAAATATATGCCATAATTATATAAAACTAAAAAATACTGTTTACAAGGGAAAATTATAGATGAACTGATACTGAACAAATGAAATAATGAACTGTCCAGGCACTTTTTTTACGAAGATTCGGTTAATTATTTACACACAGTTAAATATTAAAAAATACTGATGTGCTATAAATATCTAAGTTACAAAGTATATCACCGTTTTATGAACAATACATAAATTAAACGAAACTTCATGAAAAGCTAAGAGTTGGCCTAATAGGTCTTGTTAGAAACTGGTGAAACTGGATTTCACTTATTTTGCATTACTTATATTTCAGTTTCCCTAATAACTATACAATGGATTGCCTTGTTTACATAATTAATTTCGCCCTATCTGTTTTAGACCTAAACCTATCAAATGAATTTCAAAACAACATAATATCTATACAAACAAAAAATTATGTTTTCAACTAACGTAATATTGTTGGTGGTGTGAATTTAATTTACAAAATTAATTTTTAGGCGTCAATTTAATTTACCTTATTATGCTGATTCATAATCGGAAACTATTATTATAGAAATCGAGTTAAGAAAGCCACTTTAAAGAACCGCCCACAGAACAGCTTTTATCAGTTTTTTTGTTGCTCCATATTTGCACATAAGTTTATAGACGCATGTCTCAAACGGATGTGACTTTATATGTAGATTGACGTTTGTACGTACTTATCGCTTTTGTGTCTATCTTCAAACTTTTTTTGTCACGGCTTTCAAACTCATACTTGACCAGCAATTCCTTATTGTCCAGTCGTTGCAATTAATAATGTAGCTACTACTATTATTTCAGATATAAAACTTAGAATAATAAAGTAAAACAAACATGGCTATGATCAATTTATTAGTGTATGAAATGAAATGAAAATATCTTTATTCAAGAAGGCTATTACAAGCACTTGAAATGGCAAGTTTATTTTTATTTCTACTTTTTTTTGTGAAGGAATCGTAATGTTTTCTTGCATACATAATATTTTCATTGATGTATTGAGAGGCAACAGTCAAAATATTTATTTCTTTAAATATTTCTCTGAGAGATTCTCTAGACCGTAAATTATATATAGCGTGGACAGCTCTCTTTTGTAGAATAAAAATATCTTGAATGCTAGCCGCAGAACCCCATAACAATAGATTATATGTCATTCATTACACTATGAAAATAACTAAAATATACCAATCTTGCCGTTTCAACATTTGTTAAGAGTCTAATTTTCTTAACAGCAAATGCTGCAGAACTCAGTCTACTTGACAAATTATCAATATACCAAAATACCAAGGAACTTTGTCGATTCCACTATAATATAGAATTTATAAGAATACTATAGAATTTATAAGTATACTAGCTGACCCGACAGACTTCGTCCTGTCAAAAAGATTTGTAATGTGGCAGTTTTTTTGCCTACGTATTTAAAAAAATTCTCCTGAACAGAACCGTCACCCTGGTGATAGGGCGTTATGAACTCCTCCAACTATGTATTCTGTGCTCCAACGCACACACGCACATTGTTTTGATAGATATGATCTTTGACGTTAGGAACACACCTACATTGCTTAGACAACAGTGAGTGCTTGTAATTTAATATGAACTTTATACCATAGCAATAAAGCTCAAATTGACTACGTTTTAGTTACAAATCATTTGTATGGGAAAAAGAAAAGGGCTATTTTTAGGGTTTTTCCAGCAATAATTCTAATTTTTCTCGCCGTAAAAACCATCCTTGAACTTCAACGAACATTTTAAAAAAAGATTTGGCCAAATTGGTCGAGGCGTTGTTGAGTTATGCGCTTACCAACACATTTTGCGATTCATTTTTATATATAAGAAGATTAACATGCCTCACATTAGGTAATGCAAACTTTATGTATTTCGTTTTATTTGAATAAAGCTTTAAATAATTACTATCAAACCACTGTAGAAAATTGTCGAACTGAATTACATTGAACTGTTTCATAACAAAATTTAAAGCTCTTATTTTATCAACTAATATGTCACATCACTAATATGCACAATCGGAATGATACCAATAAAAATATACAAATTAGGCTTAATGTAATTAATACAAAAATTCTGTTGTTTTCTTAATTTTTGTTTTTTTTTACACTTTCCCTCGCTTAATTATATTACTCCACAGATATACGATAGAGTGTATCATTAAGTTTTCTTAGTTTTTGTACTGCGTTTTTTAAAAGATATTTTAATAAATTATGTAGGGAAAAGCCTTAATTTTTCAGTATTCACTTGGTTACAGCAAAATCTAATATTAATAGTTTGCACATAAAATGATGACCCCAATTTTTTTAAATGTGCATAATCTTAAAATATTTTTTTCCTTCTGGTATCCCCATATACAGCCACGTGACAGTTCAACATTCATGTTAAAGTAAATTATTTATTATCACGTTGAATTAGAGTTTGTTTTTAATCTTGTGATTTCTTAGCTTAGTATCTTTTTGGGATTTGGTTTATGTTATCGCGAACCTATCGCGTGGCGGTTTTTCATGTAGTGAACAAAATGATCATTTCATCTAATCTGTATTTGTGTGCGGAGAGGCGACACTCGGTTCCCATACTAAATTAATATCATTATACTTCTAATCTCTCTCTATGTTCTGTGTCACTTACTTACACACTTCTTATTTGGTGCCTAAGCTTGTTGCGCGTCCAAACGAATTTTAAAGTCTCTATAAGAAAATGTATTTGAAAACATGGAGAAGCCCGTGATAATAAAATTTTCCACATCCAATCAATTACTAGCCTCTGCAAAAGTATCTTAACATCCACAAATGCGCTGATCCTAGTTGGTATATTACGTACCTTATTATTTCTTTTGTACTATGTTTCTCATAGAATTTGTTGAAACTGTTAATAGGTCGCGTGTAATACAGGCGGCGGCGGCATTTAGTTTTGTTTAAGACTTCAGAATTTTATTTAATTTGAAAACTGAATTGTGAAAATTAATAATATGATTGCCGTACAAATACAAATACAAAACTCTTTATTGTTCACATTACACAATGAATTACAAAATTTTATTCATTCATTCATTCATTCAATGATATAATGTTAGTAATGTTATGTAAATAGCGTTATTTTGTGTTGTGTATCTTTTAGAAGCGGCTAATCGGGGCAACACTGCTTACGATACGGCGCTTTACAACGCAGCGACCATGTACGTCGCACAACAAAACAAGACTGGTGGTGGAGGGTAAGATATTTTATGTGAACTTCTTAACTTATCTTCTCTCTATCTATGTATATCTTCCCAACTAACATTACAGCTGCAAATAGAGCCTACTTAGAACCTAAAGTGTTATAAAGGTTGATTATTAACTGTAATTATAGGTTGTGGTGACAAAAGAGAGTTAGTAATAAAATGTAACGCTTATAGTGACACAGCAAGTTTATAAGAGCAATGGTATGGAGGCTAAAGGCGTACAGCAGTGATTATTGTCCCTATAGTATAGACAATGACAATGTCCCTATAGTATAGTATAGAATATATAGACAATGAAGTTATTTCTCTTTCTAGCGTTTTGATAACAGGTTCATGACATTTTTAAATCAATCGGCAAAGTTTTAAAACATTTTTATTAAAAAAAATTTTGCTTAAACTTGAAGTGAAATTTTTTTTTTACATAAATACACAACTAAGAGTGGGCCCCTTAATTATTTGCTTATAATATATAACCACATTCACAGTAAAGTTACTTTCGCAATGAAAATTCTGCTTCAGTTTTCCATAAACAAGTTACGATTTCACCATTTAACTTCGCCATTTTTTTCGTAAAGACCATTAGTGTGGAGATTAGGTGTAGTAACAATTTAACGTTAAGGCAAAACGTAATGTTAAGCAGTCTAGGAAAAAAAGTAAAAAGCTATGTCTTTAAACGTTTAAATTTCCTATTGTAGATCTGTACTGCAACTCAAGGTGTTACACTTTACCTTATTGCCACCCTATTACCGCTTAAAGAGTTAGAAAGATGCATCTTAGATCTACTATAAACCTTACGTAGTTAATATTCATACATTTGTTTCATTTGTAGCACTCAAAGGTATGAAGGTAGCCTGTAGCTCTATTATAATGCTTGAAGAGTCACTAAACACTTAAATATTTCTTTTACAACGCTTTAGCACTCAGTTAGCGCTTATGTACCTCCACAATAACTATGCTATATCTCTTAAATGCATTCTGTAACTCTACTACATCGCCATTGTGGAACCTAAGGTCATAAAAATTTGTGCCCAATCCAAGGGTACAATAGAGTTATGGCTCCCTATAACTCCATGTGATAGCACATATTGAACACCACAGGATCAGTTTAGCTCTTTTGTAGATCTGTTCTAACTCTTATGTTAGCACCTAATGTTACTTGGGTTAATACCAGATCCCTTGTGAGGCAGTCAAAGCGAACTGAGAACTCCATAAGACATTAACTACTAGAATTGGTAATTGTAATGGAAAGTTTTTCTTTCTTTAGTGGTTGGAAAAATTACAACAAGAGCGGTGTCGGTGCTGGACAGCAGCGACGTCCTAAACCCCCACCGAAGACTCAGCAGCTGCACTACTGCGATGTCTGCCGCATCTCATGTGCTGGACCACAGGTTAGTGGTTATTATCTTGTATATTGTTTACTTTGTTTATTTATATATATATTTTTTATATGAATTTTGTATTCATTAATGACATATTTTTGCATAAGAATATATTTAGGAGATGTATTAATGTATTAATAGGCAGTTGTATGAGTTAATATCATTAATGATATTTTTGCAATCATCCTAATTCTAAAAAATATTTTTGATTGAAATTATAGTGTGTGATGAATCCACTTACAGAAATACTTATTAATTTATTCATGTTTGAAGAAAACAGGAATTATGTCCAGAATTTACCTATATGTGAAAATACAGGTTTCTTATATGTATACGGAAAGCGTAAACCATTATAACTCATAAATATTTAACAAAATAAGTTTTATTTGGTACACTACACTTTCAAAAACAGGGAAAAAATATTATTAAATTTTGCCAAAATATATATGGCATTAAATTAATTACAAAATGTAAATACGAAAAACATAAACGCACACTTAATAAAGATATTCTAAGATTGGCATGACGCTGACACGTTTTTACTACAGTACTATGGTCTAATATCACTTCTCTGCCTGAATATGTAGTGTTTACGAATCACTAGCAGCAGTTCGATATAAACAGCATGGTATCTTCTAATCTATTAATTGCAGACATGCTGTTACTAACCTGAAATATTAATGGTCTATACATATATAATGTACTAGCTTTTCCCCGCGACTTCGTCTACGTGGTATAGTAACTTTGAACAGCATTTTTAAAAATGTTTAAACAAATATTAATAATACCTGAATATAAAGTTTCTTGATTTTATCTTTGATTCTGATGAGCTTCCATATATCTTAAATCACTATTTCAGCCTTTTTATCACAGTAAAAAGCAACCTAAGTCCTATCTTGAGTAAACTATTTTTAGTGTGTTAGGCGTGAGTGAGAGCTTAACATTAAGTCTGTTACAATTCAATTTAAATACTAAGGTCTAAATTATGCAAGTCAAATCATTATTAGGAATACCAAGGAGATAAAGTATTTTAACAATGTCAAGTAGATTATTTTAACAACACATGTTAATCAATTATAATTATCACGAAGTCAATTAAATTACATAATTACAAATGAAATTATATAAAAAAATTAAGTTAACTCTGACCAGTGTGATTTAGAAATATACTTAACGCCATCTAGTGTAGCTCAAAGTATATAGTTTGTATTTTTGTTTCGTTTATAAAATTATTTGTACTTGAATATTTAAAAAAGTTATTTTTGTTGTCAATTATGTACTGAAATACCACTTTTTATCACAACATAAGGAAATCTTTATAAATAATATAAGATAAATTTATTTAAATGTCAAATCAAATTGTAAATTATGGTTGCTATGGTGGCATTTTGATTCCCCGTAAAAACTTTCCTTCCAAATTTATCCCCTTTCGTGATAAAATATATTACACAAATACAAATACCGTCAATAAAAGTCAATAAAATTCGTCAATAAAGATCCAAAAATAAAAAAGTTTCATACAAACGTTTTCACCCTTCGGAGTGGAATTTCCAAAAATCTATAGTATAGGACCTATACGTATTTAGATGGATGCACCCTCCAAATTTGAAGTCTCTACGACCAGCGGTTCAGGCTGTGCGTTTTCTGTCAGTCAATATGTTAGGACAATAGACAATAGATAAAGCTTTGATCTATAAATTTTAAAGAAGTACAATAGAATCCTGATTATCCGAACTTCGATTATGTAGACTTCCGATTATCCCGTCTCATTCATCTAAGCTTTAAATGTCAACTTAAAAAAAAATCCCAATGCGACGAGACACGTTATGAAATGTTTATTCCCGTCTTATTACTGTGATTGTGACCCTCCGATCCGATTGTGTGATGTGTGTAGGTCCTGCGATTTTGGAAAAATCCGAATTCACTTCAAAAACAGCATCCGCTCAACCTTGAATTGGTAATAATGTTATTATAACATTTCGTTGCATAAGTGAAGTGAGTTTGTCTCAATCTTGTTTTGTATTTTTATACAAAAATGGAACTAATAGAATTTCTACGCTAAATGACGTGAATACGGACATATGAGTGAATTCGAATTTGGGTTACCTTTTCAGACTACCTTTTCAGCACAAATGCATACTATCTGATGCAAAAGTTTTTGAAGCTCTTGATGATACTTTGAAAGATATGATGAATTGTATCCCATAAAGATGATACAACTGAAGCGCATCAGGGATGTGATTAATTACATCAAAGCAAAGATCAATAATATATTATTTCCAATCAAAATTATAAATTACATAGGTATTTATTTAATTCATTATCGATATAGCTTTGTTTTTTTTATATATTGTAAGCGACGACGAATTAAAACCCAATATCATAATAAAAAGTAAAATTTTCAGAATCATTTTTCCACTGTAGTCAAAGGCCAATTATATAAATTTGTGACGGGGATAGGAAAGGGGGAGCGTTGCTCAAGTACTCGGATTGGTCTTTCGCAGACTTATAAGGAGCACTTGGAGGGGCAGAAGCACAAGAAGAAGGAGGCGGCCGTGAAGCTGGCGGCGGCAGGCGCGGGCGCGGCGGCGGGGGCGGGGGCGGGCAGCCGTGCAGCGGGGGGCGCGCTCCGCTGCGAGCTGTGTGATGTCACGTGCACCGGTGCCGACGCGTACGCGGCACACGTGCGCGGCATCAAGCATCAGAAAGTCGTCAAACTACACACCATGCTCGGCAAGCCCATACCTTCCACAGAGCCCACCAAGTTGGGAGGTAAGTCCACCCTCCTACACCCCAATTATTTTTGATGACCCGATTTTAATTCTGATTGTGATTTATACCGATGCTCGATTATGTATTCCTGTTCAGTTTCAAAATCATCTGGTCCTTTATTCCAAAAGTTCCTGCTAAAAATGTTAAAAAATGGAGTGTGCGTTCATTTGTGACTTGTCATTTGCTGCTGAGAAATATTTATGTTATAAATTTAAAATTAGACGACATTCAATAGCACTAGCTCATTGTCACCTTAGTGTTCCTTTATGATTGTATGCAAAACTGGAATCTTATTTTTAAATTACATTCTATTTACTTGAAAACCACAATCATTATTTAATTTTAGATTTTTAAATAATTTTATGTTTGATTATTGAAATTATTCATAATCTCGCATCGCTGTTGTATTTGTCTTCCAGGACGTAGCCAGATCGCTAATCATAGGCGAGCATATTATAATTTGAATATAATCTTGAAGGTTATAAAACTATCCCTCCAAATGTATTACATTTTCTAGCAACCTTTTTATTCAGGTCAGATCACTCCAACCATACATTTGATATGATACTAGAGGAGTAATAATAGTGCCTGGCTACGCATTTGGATGCTTTGGAACATTTGTAGTAAATAATATATTAGAAAGGTTCCCCGAACGAGAAAATAATGTATTTCTCCTGAGAAAAAATCTGCCAGTTTTCTTTTATTCAGATACGATTCCCAATTATCGATAGTGGTGGGGATCGTATTTGCTTTTAAACACTGTCGCCCTCTATCTGTACTGAATTCCCTCGATGCCACGATGTCGTATCCGTACAATGACGCGAACAGTCGGCTATTGTTTAAAAAAAATAACGAAGTCAAATTGTCTCTACCGCGAAAACATCGGTTTTCGGCACTCAATACAGATACGGAGTGTGAGATGCGGGTGGATACTAAATGTATCCACCCCTAGTTACAAACGAGTTAAAACACAAAGATCAGCAAAGAGATTTAGAGAGAATTCGACTTTTCCGGTTCGCTAGTGAAAAGCACGGTCGCCGGCACGACCAAGATCGCGTTCGTGGCGTCCGGGGGACTCAGTACTGTGGCGGGCACGAAAGTGAAAGACTCCAATACTCAAGGCGACAAGGACAAGGACGGAGAGGACAAGGAAGACGAGGCAGATCCCGAGCCCGAGGTACAGCCTGTGGGACAGGATTATATTGAGGAGATACGCGGCGACGATGGAAAACCGCTAAGTTTCAATTGCAAGCTCTGTGACTGCAAATTCAACGATCCCAACGCCAAGGAGATGCACATGAAGGGACGCCGTCATCGGCTGCAGTATAAGAAGAAGGTATGTCTACCTGCATGCATATAATTATATAGAGTATTTATTCTTTTTTAGATTAAATAATTATTCTTTTAAATTAAATGAAGAACTTTGAGTACTAAATCAAAACTTAACATATACATCAATAGGTATATGTTAAGTTTTGATTACAAGTTTTGATCTGTACAACATTTAGTGAAATTTTCAAAATGATTTAAATATTACAGGTTTTTTTTAAACTTGTCCTTAAAATACCCAAATGGCGGTTACGATGTTCTTCCTAAAAAGGCTCGATATCACGTGGTTTTACTAAAGTGATACAGTTTTATGGTCACTAGCGGTTTAAACAATCATCCAGTGATTACTTAGTAAAAGGTTTGAGATGTTCGTTGAGCCCGGCGGCTGCTTGCGGCTGCTGAGAGCTCCGAACATCGAATGATTACTCGACATAATGAGGATGATTATAAGAAGCCATTATGTAAGCTTTTACAAATAAGAGTGATTTTTCCTTGTTGTCATTTATTACTTATTTCAGTAATGAATGTGAAAGTTCCAAAAATATTGTTATTGAATATACTTAGATTTTGTGATTTTAGGTTTTTTTTATTTGTCTATGAGGTGGAGATGGTTGGGAGTATGAAAGGCTAATGGTGTCTTAAGCATACGTATATTTATTGTACTCAGGTTCAGCCGGACCTGGAGGTGAAGGTGAAGCCGTCAATGCATCAGCGCAAGCTGGCCGAGGCTAAGGCGCAGCGCATGATGGTGCGCGACGAGCTATGGGCGCGCCGCCGCATGCACGACGTATGTATACATTATAATATACTATCACAATACAATATCACACTTTATTTTAATTAAACTGCATAAATATTATGCTTAATTTCTTTGAGTTCATAGAAATGGAAGTTGTTACGATACTCTTAACGAAAATTGTCTTGAATTGAACATTGAAAACGTAATGTTGGCTGCACCTCGATGCCATATTGTAATCGTTTAAAAATGTTATAGTACTTTTTTTGCAGTCTTTTTTATATATCACGTCAATTCAGAAATCATCATATAGTTTGGTCACTTGCCACATATTTGTGGGTTCAACTGAAATATGTAATATGTCAGGGCATGGAGGAGGACGAGCGCGTGTACTGGGAGGGCGGCCCTGAGCCCTGGTGGCCACGTCCTCATCACCACCATCATCACCATGTGAGTACCACAGAATAGGGAATATGCGTCTGATTAAAAAAACGGTTAAATATATTTTATTACGATCATTATTGCTTTAGAATTAAGTCTTTGTAAATATTTTTCAACATTAGTTCATTTTCGTTTTGAAAATAATTATTTAAAAGTGCGTTAAGTACAAAATATTCAAAAGCCATGCTATTATGCCATGCATGGGATGTTATTACAAGAGGTTAACATCAATGCAATAATATTAATTGTATTATGTCGCAAAATACAATTTAAATGTTTTAGACTTATTTATATTTCATCAATTTGGTGATCTATATGATAAAATCAATCACTCAAAATCCATATTCATTTATGTCATATCTCTAGTCGTGCATTTTGACGTCACAAAGTTTTGACGCGCTTGCCGCTCGATGTTGTTATTTATTTTCATCGATTATTATTATTGTTACTAAAATTTTAAAAATGTGCATATTCCCTATTGATAACTTTATAGACTTGCTGTTTTTTCCTTTACTTTTAAATTATTTTGCAAAATGATAATTATATTCTTTTTCATTCTTTTTTTATTTATTTGTTGTTTGTCAATATTTTCATATCCTACAATTTTTTATCTTCATATGGGGATACAGTAGAATTTCTTATTCAGGGCTTGATCTATCTAAGGGGACTAGTAGGAGCATTTGCCCTGGTGCCAGTGTCAGGGAGGCGTCATAATATAACACAGTTGAAAAAAAGGGAAAGTATAGTTATGGGAAATCCGGTCTCTCGGAGCGGGAAAAGGACGGAGGAGGATTTCTAGGGCGCAATATCAAGTTTATGCCTCGGTTGGAAAAAAATAGTATATGATGTTACAGGTAATAATAATAATAATCAAACTGTCATCTCGTTTCTTTTGGTGGAATTAGGGAATGGGAATGCCGTACGGTCCCGTGGGTCGTCGGCCAGAGACGTCTGACGATCGGCACGTGTTGGCTAAACACGCGGACATCTACCCCGGGGAACAACAACTCGCGGATATACAGCGGTGCGTTTCACACACCGAGCGGGCACTCAAGTCACTCTCCGACGCGCTCGTCGACCAAGCCCGACCCAAGGTAACTATACCTCATCTCTTATACGAGTACATTTACTTACTATCTACTCTTAATCTTAGTTATAAAATTGTAGTCTGAAACTTGCGTATGACTTAGCTGCCCGTAGGTGAAAGAATTTTTAAAGGTGACCCAGTAGTTTTGGAACCTATTTGATGCAAACAAACAATCAAATCATTCCTCATTATAATATTAGTAAAGTTAAATTTAATAATTAGAAATAGTCCACAATAAGTATACTATATCACTTATTTTTAATCAAAAATTATTTGACTAATAATAAATATTTCATATTGAACATTACATTTAATTTAGTTTTTATCATATGATGCAGTGATATCATTAATGTTGTGAACAGGGACAGACTCCATCCAAGACACAGGTGAAAGCAGAAGACAAGAAAGATGACAAACCAGAGGGCAAAGAAGATGGTCGCGATAATCAGTTGTGAGTATTTTTGTTACCAAAATTTCTTTAGTAATTTTTATAAAATCTTCAAGTTTTATATTAATTTATTGTGTCGTGGACCTAATTTTTTATTACTATTATTTCAAAATATCAGATCTTTTGAACCTATTTATTTTTGTTTCTTTATCTGCATCATATTATCGTTTTTGTTTGAATGCACTTTGCGAACTCAGGTATGGTATATTCCTGCCCGTAAAAATAGAAGACATTAAAAAAGAAAAGTCCGATACTGGCAGAGAACGCATACAGTGCAGACAGTAAGTTACACAATGGTTATTGTAGATTAGCCTGGAGTAGTATATCTATTATATGGGTTTTGTTAATTGATATTCATTGTTGGAAAATATCATTTAGATTGTTTCGCCATTGAAGCAGATATAACTGAGGGTTTATTGGTAATAGAAATTGGAAACATAATCTTTTATTTAGGTCTATTGGGTAGACTATAGAATAATGGCTTAAGAGACCATCTGATCTGTTCATTCTGTATAGCGAACTATGCGCGGTACGACGTGTTTAAATCTTGTACGAGTATATGATCATCCACTGCAATTAATATTATTATTTATTGTCCTTTGGTTCGATAGAATATCCATCTTGCCAAATGGGGCCCGCATTACGTTATAATATTGTGTCTTTTTGGTTACAACTATTTTAGGTTGTGCCAGCATTTGACATATTGCAAAAACAAAGTCTACAGAAACTGTATTGCTGCATGTGAGAGAATGTTCTCTAAATTAAACTTATCAAACCGTATATAATAGATGTATAAACATGTTTCATTATTTTTCATGTTAAACAAAGCCTTAAAAAACAGTGAATATCTTTCCTTTTGAACCCCCTTTTTTTTTTTCAATAGTAATTAAAAAATACCATATTGTTAATTTTAATCAATTAACAATATAGTATTTTTTAAATTTAAATGCGTATTAGCACGCATTGACATGACAGATTACTCTTATTATAGATCAATGTTATCCAATTGTAGCTAAATTTTAATTTTGATATACTCGCACAGAAAGTGTTTATCTTGAATTAGGACAGGCGTCTGACTCCACAAACCACTCTGAACGTTCTAGTGTCTTGTCCGTTCGTATAGTGTCTAGAGCGTATCGTACCGTATTTTGTGTGAAATTGACAAGTTTGATGGTCTCTAACTTTTGTAATTTAGAGTGTAGTCACACTTCTTATGTATGTATTGTTACTTAAAATGTAGTTTTATTTTTGTTGTCTAGAATAGGAAATTGTAACATAGTTTTTTTTTTATTGAATAAAAATTTAATAGGTAGGATACTTATATTGAAATCATCTTCTCGGTTACACATCAACTGGGAAGTTGATCGCGCGCAACAAAAAATTATCGATAGTATATTAGAAGGCGGAAATCGGAGGGGGACGATTTCAGGAATGCGTTCGATCGTTGGGAGATGTGATGTGGATAAAGTTAGAATTAGATACTTCGTCTCTATCCGAGTCGAAGACTACTAGAGGACCACGTCGCTTGTTCCGGCTGTATGGGGACGTCTGCGTCTTTACACTATGACAGATCCTCGATAAATCGGCCAGTCTTTTAGTACTATATAGAGTCGAGAGACCTTTACGACGAAACCAAAAATGTTAGTTTTTCAATTGAATGTTCGTCTCGGACAGGTTCTCGTTCATGGGTGAGGGGGAGAGCGCTGGTGCGAGCGGGTCGGAGAATAGCAGCGGGGCGGCTGGTGTGGGGTCGGGGGCGGGAGGCGGCGTGGGCGGGCGCGCGCTGAAGGGCGTGATGCGTGTGGGGCTGCTGGCCAAGGGCCTGTTGCTGAAGGGTGACCGCCAGGTGCGGTTGGTGGTGTTGTGCCACGACCGACCCACCGTCACACTGCTCAAGAGAGTCGCTGCCGACTTGCCTCTACACCTCGCCAGGGTCAAGGTACACCACCACCACCATTACACTACACCACAACACTAACTAACTTGTACATATCATGATAACGGTTTGATTCCTGGTCAGATAGATCTAGAAAAATGGCCCTTCAAATTAGAAAAACAACAAAGGTAGTGATTCAGATTTCTACAATGTTAGTGCAGCTTGCTCTTGAAGCTCTTTAATTTGGAATCTAAAAGATGTTTGTGATGCTAAAAAAGCAACCATTTTCAGACCAAATAAAATAATATTTATTTATTTATATAATAATATAAAATAATAGTTATTTACTTATTTATGTAATAAAATAAAATGTGATTTATATATTTAAATTTCTCTTTGCCTATATAAAGATTCTAGTAATAATGCAGTGATATACAAATAGGATACTGAGAGGGTAATTACGATACAGGGTCCAGGCGACGAACCTAAATACAAAGTAGAACTACAACCGGCCGAGGGCGCCGTGTTAGTGTCGGACGGGACCGTGCGCGTTCTCGTCAGCCTCACCTCCGCCGTCATGAGGGAACCGAACGGTAAGTGAATCCGCTACAATTAATCCCACGAAGCGCCGATTTCACCACTCCGTCAATGGGAGAGCCGCAACTTGTCCCAAGAATATACACCTGCAATGCCTAATTCGAGATACATATGGTCAGATTTATTTACACTGTAATGACATGCTTTTTCTATGAGGTCAGGATGGTATGTTTTAAAATTCGTATTTCCAAGCTGATATGATAATTTTATGATTACTTGATATTTCCAGATTTTGGTAAATCCGATTGCATTGCTCCTAGAATGAGGCATAATTGTACCTCCAGTATATACCGTAAAATTGTGTATTATTTTCTAATGTAGGTGATATAGATTTATTTTAATTTAGAGGAGCAACATGACCTACTTTATGAAATAATAGCACATAAAAATAATATGGTGTGTTTGAATGGAATGGATAAAACTGCATTTTGATTTAAAAAATGTAAATAAAAATAATGTTTGCTTACGGTTTATACTGGTGATACAAGTGGGATAATGTTGCGGCGGTACCTCCTACTTTTTATGTGTAAGATTAATATTTAAAGTAAACTGTGACAAAGGTAGCTAATAGCATTGACGATACCGTTGTGAAACCGGCTGCCACATTTGATCGTCAATATGATCTTATAGGAAACGAACTCTCAGAACAAACTATCTAAACCCATCAGACTGATTATTTTATATTTCTTTTATATGTATATTACTCGATATATTTTTATTTCTAATTCATGTGTGCAAAAAAGAGATAATTTGTTCAAAGTTTACCGCCGGCCCCCGGCACTGTGTTGCTTATTTTTAGGTGTGATTAGGGTTAGAAGCGGCGAGAAGAAAAGGATTTTTGATCATCTATCCAGATATATATCACATGCGATGCTACTCCGCAGTGGTATATTCTATCTACTGAAACGGAGCAAACATATTTATTGATTTTTTTATATATCTATATGTGTAATTTTATTTAATATTTCATCTATCTCATTTGTGTAGGGCATTTGCGTTCTCGTGTAAATCTTTGTTAATAAATCCATTAGGCCCCAGAATGTCTGAATGTATTTTTGGGTATATCGAGCGAGCGTTACGTCGGGACGCGATTGGCTGGTCGCATAAAACCGCATCCCGAACGAGTAATGGCGCGCAGACTAGGTTTGTGTCCGTGTTTGCCCCGTTTTTGTCGATGTGTTGATGGTCAAACACCCTTTGTTATGTTGTCGCTAGAGGGTGGCGACATAAAGCGAGACGACAAGGATGTGCTACCGCGGCAGAAGTGTTTGGACGCGTTGGCCGCCCTTCGGCACGCCAAGTGGTTCCAGGTACATTCGCCCACATTATGAACGTGTGCGCACTCCACGCATATCATATTCTTACTTGACACTTAACCAATACAGCTTATCGCTATATTGCTCCAGAGTCTGATTCGATTCGAACCATACTTTATTTGCTGACCCGAGAGGGAGTGCGCACGTATTATTTTAGTCACATGTTATGCTTTTATTATTTTCCATCCGATGGTAGTTTTAATTTTATTTAAATACAATCTATGAAAGTTGCGAGCTCCCATGAACATGTGGCTACAAGTGCTTCATTATGTGAACCAAGCTGCGTTTCCTGCACTTAGTTAGCCGGTGATGGGAGTAATTTTTAAAACGGAAACGCAGTTTTGAACGGTGATGACTGTCCGACGAGTGTGATTACCATCTATTGCTCCGTATTTTTCGATGTGTATAAATTAAATTTCATGGTGTATGTGGAGCAATAGATCGGTAGCGCTTGATGTCACTGACGCGTGCGAGCGCGCTCACTGACTGCGAACCGTGTGGTGTATAGGCTAGGGCTGCCACGCTGCAGTCCTGCGTTATCATCATCAGGATCATGCGCGACCTGTGCCGCAGGATACCCAACTGGACGCCGCTCAATCCATATGTGAGTATTTGCTTTTTTGAATTTTTTATAAGTGATTTATTACATATGCGATAAGCGCGAAAACTATTTAGTGGTCATCTAGCAACTATATAAATGGTTGTGGTTAGAAATTCAAAGGATACATAACAATATATGTAAATTTACTTATTTTTTTTTCTATATTATGTTAAATGTTTTTTTATTTATTTTATTGTTCCTAACTGTTTATGAAAGTCTTATTTAATAACAAACGTCAATTATAAGACGTGAGTCAAATAAACAGGTATATACTCAACGGTACACATGGCTACCATAGTACATATGTTAAATTTCGATAATTGATTTTGTATTCTACCCTATATGCAATGAGGTTTAAAATAGAGTGGATAAATTTTGTATAACCTGACGTTGGTCTAATACAAATGTAAAATTACACCATGGACCTCATTCAACTATGTCGTCCGACAGAGGTGTCGGGGTTAGTCCGACACTGCTCTAAAAAGACAGGCATCGCCAATTGCATGCCAATTATCAAATATTTTTCTAGTTTTCTTTCTATTTATCTAGAAATATGAGCAATGTATATGTGATATTTCATATTATAAAAAAATAACTGACAATATTTCCTCAGTCCCTAAATAAAATAAAACAATCTGTCGGTTAGTACCACAGATAACCTCCAATAGATGATGACTATTTACCCGACTGCGCGACGCAAGGGCGGGTATTGTGTTTATAAGTCTATGTATGGATGTTTGTTTGTATGTGGCGTTCTAGAGACCAAATGCGTAGGCCGATTTTGATGATTCTCACGTCAATCGATTCGTCTCAACCTTTCGAGTGTCACTAAAGACATGACAGTAATCAAAATTCACCACACCGACAACCAGACGCCATATTGTCAAAATGAAAAAAAAAGTCGATTGACTATGTCAAGTGGGGTTTCGTTGAATAGGTTTAAAATCATCTTTAGGTTCCTTTCATCATTTTTCATTTTAAACAATAGTTTAGGATATATAACTGTTTAAAGTTGTTTAACAAATGATATTATTTCCCTCAATGAAATGACTAGATTGCGAAATTTACCATCTTATAATGAAGTCAACGAATCGTAACTAAAAAGTATAAAATGAAAATAAATAATTTAAAAACAGTCGGGGGACGACTCACAGTCGGGGCCACTTTAAATTTTACCAATCGAATCTTCCCAAGGGGCCCCGACTATGAGTCGTTCTGTACTGCATTAGAATTTATGATTTGTTTTGTGTGTATCGATTATATAAACTATTTCAATTGTGTTTAACAGAATTCTAAACTTTCTTTTTAGGTTTTATTTAAGTTAATTTGTTCATTTATTTTTTAATTCGTTTTTAAGCAGTCGGGTGATTTGTTAAATAAATAAAGATGCCAGTCTTAGCGATGGGGTAGGTTGCGGGCGAGGTAACTGCGGCGACGCTATTAGCTAGTGTGTCTTTACACGTATTCTGTAGTGATGGAAACCATAATGTGTTAAAGGCATGTCGATAATTAATCGATATGTTACTATTAGATGTTATTAAAAATATATTTTATTAAATTTTATTTTATTAATTCACAGTTAGTGCGCGTTCACTCAATCGCTAACTTTCAATCAGTTGATGAGAATAACTTTAAAAAATCAAATAACCTATAGGACATTAGAAAGTAGTTCAAATTTGAGTTCCAAGATTTGCGCACTAACTAACTAACAAACAAACATACTAACAAGTAAGTTAAATAAAAACTTGTAAAAGGGGGTTAGTTTTGGCCAAAAATGCAAAAGTTGCAAATTTTGTACTTTTAAATAATTAACAAGCATTAAAAAAAAAAATTAGGAAAACTTAAAATACATATGTTCTGAAATAAATACAAATAAAATTTATCTTACTGGTGAAAATTAACTCTTATCTTTTTTGAAATTAGACGTCCTAGAATGAAGAATGTTAACGATTTTTTTTTATTAGCACTCCATATTCTTTGTCAAAAATAAAAAATACTAGTGAAAAAATTACTTCGATACGACAATTAGTTTCCGATTTAGAAGTAAAACAAGTTGTAACCGCACGACGCGGGCTGCCGGTGACGGTGTGACGTCATTGCACAACACGCTCAGTCTGGCTCACTTAGTCCGCTCGCAGTCGCGCGCCCGTGCCGTCGAAATTTTACATAAATACTTTTAAAAAATGTCCAATCCAAATACTAGGAAATCATGTGTTGTGCCTAAATGTAAAAATACAACTACTAATTCGCCGGGAAAGTTGTTTTTTGCTCTCTAATTTTTAATGCTACTTTGTCAAAAAAAAAATTCATTCTGACCGGCTAAATGAAGTGTTATACCACTTGTGCCAAAATCTTTAGCTTTAATCATTTTCGGTGTGGTACCAACACCTGAGAGCTTAGATTTTTTCAATAACACTTGGTAGCTCTTCGTTTCGACGATGTAACCACATTAAAAATGCTACAGTATGTTTACAGCCACCTCTGCTGGCGGCACAATCTTCGCAGGTTACATTTAATACTTCTTGATCCTTTTCATTGCATTCTAAACTGCAATGATAACGTGTGGTACGTACGCGGTGTTCTGGCGTGATTCTACATTTAACCGTACATACATCACCTACTCTTTTAACTTGAACATAACCAATAGCATCATTGCAATAGATTTTTCCGATCTGAAATAAGTTTCAAATAAAAATAAATAGCCTTAAGTATTTTCTTAGTAAAAAAATAAGGTTAAGTATATCTGTTCAAACTTCTATATTTGCAACAAAAAATAATTTAATAAAATGGCCTTAAGTATTTTGTTAGTAAAAAAATACTAATAAATAAAAAAGGTTTAGTACATCTGTTCAAACTTCTATATTTGCAACAAAAATAATTTTATAAAACGGCCTTACGTATTTTGTTAGTAAAAAAAAAATACAAAAAAAAAGGTTTAGAACATCTGTAACGTTTAACCCACTACGTCTACATCCTACGTACCTATCCTACTTCCTACTTATATTATAAATGGGAAAGTTTGTGTGTGTGTTTGTTTGTTATCTTTCACACAAAAACTACTGAACAGATCTGGACGAAGTCTGTAATAATAACGCATAGGCTACTTTTAATCCTGGGAAAATGTACAGCTCCCGAGGGAATCGTGGGCGAAGCTGCTGGCGGAAGCTAGTTTGCAATAAATCAATGTATGTATTTATTTAAATTTACTAAGAGCGGTACCTATATATACATACGTACCTACCTATAGCTACAAAACTATTATACATATTTGTCTTTAACGTAAAAATTTAATGATAGGTAGGTACTTCTTCTATTTGTGTTGCATTCTTCCATTACGCCATTAGTTGCGTATTTTGTTTTGATAAAACAATTTAGAACAGATAAACTATTTAGCATCAGTAGTAGCAAGGAAGGTTTACTTACCTATGCATTTTTATTCCTCGCATTTCGGCGGCAACGAAATTACTATTTGTTAATAAATAATGCGCAACTTTTATTTTATTTTAGGTAGATTATCCGATTGCCCTTTTTGGAATCCTTTGTCTATTTTATTAATCGAATAATATTTAATATTATTAGAGTATTAACTTAATACACGGGCGAAAACACAACAAAATACTGCGCAAGCTATTATATCTACTATAACAGCTGGCGACTTGATACTAAGCGGGGCGCGGCGCGTTGTGACATGACGTCACAAGCGGTCACGTGGCTGTTAGCGGGATTCGATATTTTTCGAAACTTTGAATGCATATAAAATCAAAATTACTAGGTATTTTTTACTACAACAAAAACTAGTGTATTTATATACATAAGGGCTTTATTGAGACAAAATTTCAAGCGATTTGGCATACCTAGTAACATTCTTCATTAGCCACTATTGCCATGGTTCATCCAATAACTACATTATAAAGAAAAAACTTCTCGTAAAAGTATATATAATATTCTCAGATCGAACACTTGGATGCTACTGATGATTTGCATATGTGTATTACTACTTTTATTAAAACGGTCTATGCAGAATCATATACGCTTGTCTACAGCTTGCTGTCTTCTATACGGCATCTATTGAAGGTTATCTGTGGCTAGTACATAATTATCGGAATCTGTGTAGTGTACACGCGGCTCGAACGGACGGCATTCTTTAATTTGCGTGAGAAGTCGAGCTGAAGATGATGTTGAAGGTATAATGTTATTTGATGTGGTAGGCAATGGAGCTGCTGGTGTCGGGCGTGCTGCAATCGGCGGGCACCGGGTTGTCCGCGGGCGAAGCCCTGCGCCGCCTTATGGAGGCCGTCAGTGGAGGCCTGCTGCTAGAGCACGGGCCCGGCCTAAGAGACCCATGCGAGAAGGAACTCGTGGTCTGTATAGAGTTCGAAATGCTACATTGTAAACATTACTTGTGGATAGTAAATTCTCAACATTTTATAATACCAATTACCACCTTTGCTTATTTGTTGTATATAGGATAAAGAACACAATATTAACTAACCTTATTAACAGGATTATTAAATGTGTGTCAAATCTTGTATTTTGATGTCCGGATTTTAGGTCTATATATTTAGTATTATTCTAAATCATTAACCTATTAACGCCCAAATAAACTGCAACACAAATTTTAGTGAACTAGTTTTTAATATTGTTATGAAATCGCCTATTATATGATATGACGAACAAATAATAAATAGTTATAAGATGTACTTTTAGAGGTGTACTAAGTTAAGTACAATGGGTGCTTGACATTTCAATTTTATAATCGTAATTTCATACTTTTAAGTCCTAATATTACTCATAACATCTCAATAACGAACCCTTTACTGGCATATTAGACGAAAGGAGAAAACTAAGTACCTACAGATAATGGCTATTCAATATACTTTTATGAAAGAAAAAAAAAAACTATTTCTGCGATAATTACCATCATCTGCTAAGATAGTAATGATGATAGTGTTTTATGCTGCTACCCTATCCAGAAGACGAAGTGGAACCGAAACTGAGCAGTCATCTTGAAAAAACCTAAGTTTCTTGGTTTACGCAGATCAAATATTTATATGAGAAACATGAGTTTCAGTTATGGAAAAATTTTGACAATGGTAGTACAGCAGTACTTTCCGTGTTATAGCAATAAACACATTTCATGAATATAGTTTTTCTAAGTTTTGTACAAAAGAATATTATATTATTTAGTAAAAAATAAATCTTTTTAATAAATTAAAATGTTCAGTCTAATAATATGATAAATAAATAATCAACGACATATACGAATAAATCATTGGCACAAAATGCTCACCACCCTCTGATTTATTTAGTGATTGAGTTTTCATTTTGCTTTAATCAGTCAAAACTTACTGCATGGAGTTTTGACTGATAGGTTGAAAGTCATTAATTAACTTTTATCTGAACTTAAATGACTACCATTTATAGTCCGGCGGGCGATAATAGGTTAAAAGTGAAAGACATAGTTAAGTTAAACCAAAGATTCAATCTTATTATTACTTAAATTTTAGTTTTATATTATTTTTGCCTTTAGGATGCACTTGGTAATTTGCCACCTCAAAAACGCGAAGACTTGACTGCATCGGCGCAACAGTTTTTGAGACAAATTGCATTCAGGCAAATCCACAAGGTAATTATTTTATTACATGTTTTATTTCATTTTAATTTTTTATAACATGTGTTTATTAACTCTTGCCGTTAATGGTTTAAAATCCAGTGTATAACTCGGCGTTGTGTTGTTGTATGATGGTGCAGGTGCTGGACATGGAGCCGCTGCCGAAGGTGAAGCACGCGGCCGGAGGGTGGAAGTTCCCGCGCAAGCGCAGGCGCTCTCACACCGACCACGACCCCGAAACCGACCAGCCCAACGGTACTATTCACACCATATATACCATAGCCCTAAACGCGATCACTACTCCATCACTCGCATCTAGCACGACCCCATACTGATCCTGACATAATATATTTGAATAGATTCTTTCAAAATAAAAAACTATTTACTAGGCGGCTATGTTATCATTTAAATGTATTTCTGAACAATGACGTCATTGCCGTTTCGTTAACGTGACTGGCTCGCAGTTTAAAAATCAGATTGATTGATGATTATTAACAGGTATATTTCTGCGACTACGGCTGCGTAAATTATATAGCCAATGTCACCCGCATGTGATGAAATAATTTTGAAAATAAGTCCAGTAGTTTCGGTCTTAAAAAATTACGGTCTAGATATACACATAAATGATGAAATTCGATGACGAGTCGTACAGGTATCGGTTGTGTGACAGAATAACGACGGCGATGAGTTATTCGGAGCCTCGCGGTTTCTGTCGCATACTAGTATCTCAGTGGCGACGTGGCAATCTGATCGAACACCGCTTACGTGACTATATGGAAATATACTTCCCCGCTTCATTAAGATATGTCGTTACAGGTGAAGGTAAAGTTGTTAAGACAGAAGAGAAGATGGACGCGACGGACTCTACCAAGAAGTAAACCTGCATCGGACGGCCTTGGCGACGTACATTGCCGTACGGTGCCCACTATCCATATTTCTATGGAACTATTCCGATATCTCGGCCGAGATATAGTGAATTCATATTTATTTATACCGGTCCAGAGTTTTAATATAACCTTTCAGATTTAAAAATGTTTATATTTTGTGTAAAACGTTTTACTATATCGTTTCGGTCAAACAAACTTGAAGTATCGTCTTCGAGCAGATGATCTGTCCAAAACTATACTAAAGTAGACCCGAGATGTTTAGCGTTCGGAGATAAATAGGTAGATTTTTAGGTTCTATATTAAATGTAAATTAGTATTTAGAATTAATAGAATGAGAGACAGGGATAGATCTTGAAATGAGACTCTGCGGGATGACATAGATAGGATGTTTATGGAATTAGAGCTTGTAAGGGTTTCTTTTATTATAAAATTTTTAGAATAACAGTATTTGACTTTGATTATTAGTTCCTTCTTATTCGGCCTCGCCGATTAGTTCTCCGCAATGCAACACAGCAATAAACATAATCAGAAACCGTGTTGTGTGCTTTTTTATATTAGTTTTGTAAGTTTGTATATTTCCAAATGTTATTAAGTCCCCACGTGGAAATACGCGTGATTTTTGAAGTCTGTCGCACTTTAAGATTATAAGTCGGAAGCTATAATTTATTACATTTTAAGTATGTTTATTAACGACACTGAATATCGAGCGACAACTTATTTACTTATGATGTTGCATACAGTTTTGGTTTCGTCTAATTATTTAAATAGTAAAATTGAAACGTGATAGATACCTACTCTAAACTACATTCATCGAGTGAATTGGAGAAGCATGTTATGAATCATGTGGTATATGGTGATGAGAAATAAATTCATGCATTGTTTCTTCTTCGTTAAAGATCCCATACGTATATCGTGTATGTATTCCTTAACCGATAATTAAAAACTAATTGTAATAAAAAAAAAACTTAATTGCGAATTAACACATGTGTTAACTTTTAAATTGTAAAAGGTCTGGAATATTTGGAAGACATTTTAGCTATTTAGTGTGGTAAAATTCTTAATGTTAGTGACTGAGTCACATGTAGTAGATTATAAGTTAGGGAAATTCAAAACGTTTAGACTTACCAAAGGCGGTAATGAAAAATTATTGACTTTAGTCACACGAAACTATGGGATATAAAAGTGGATGTGATTTATGAATAGTGAGGGCTCACATATAAAGTATGGCCCGTTAGATAGATATTAACAAAATTAAACCAATGTCCGACGACATATTCCAAATGCAATGTTTTTTTTCTAGACAAAAATTTTTTGTTTGTTTTTGTATCTGTGTAATTTGGATATTGTCAATAAAGATTCTGACGAGACTGCTTGTTTTTATTTTGAGGCCTGTTTTATTTTGATCAATATAGCATTTACATCTAGTTATCAGCAGAGGCATTTAAGGCAAATGGGGTTTCTTCCTACTAAGAGCCCATAAGTTCCCGCCCACTGGCCATTTATATTTATTGATAAAATGAATTTGAGAATTAAACGGAAGGTCACCAAATTGACTTGGTAGTGCTTTTTGTTGTTAAAGATAAATCTATACTAATAATAAAGCTGAAGAGTTTGTTTGATTGAACTTTAAAATCTTAGGAACTACTGGAACGAATTGAATATTATTTTTTTGAATAGTCCACTTATCGAGGAAGTCTATAGTCTGTATAACATCACGCTATGACTTATAGGAGTGGAGCAGCCATGTTCGGACCTACTAATATGTACAATAAAGTGACCATGATCATCTTGACCATACTTACGGTCTTCCGAAAGGCTGGGTGGGATGTAAGTAAACAGTTTGCACCGAGACTGAAGTATCTATATCGTTAGTGTTTCTAATACGCTTGTCTATACTATTAGCATATTCTGTCGGTAATTTATGTTTCCGAGAGTCTATTTTGTCTTTCAGAGAGTGAGACAGAGAATACCGGGGGAGACATATTCAATATCAGGGGGGTCCGATTCCATTGTGACCTTCAACCTATCAACTGCCTAGATATTTTTTTAATGAAATAAATAATACGGTCTGTACAGTCTGTCTATAAAGTCATGAAAAGAATGTTTAGAGGAACTAACATTAGACACAAGTATGACAACACAATCAAAGTACATCGACTGTCAACGACTTGATTTTTTGACTCGATTTTCTGCATTTTTGATTTGTTTTGATTAAACTGAATCTACTTCCTCTTAACTCCGTAGAAAAGTGTTAAAAATGAAGAGAACTAATCGGTGTGAAGCTCTGGATATGTTATATTTTAAGTTTTTCAGTGAAGTTTATTGGAACAAGAAACTTTATATTTGGAGGATGTTTATGCTCGAACGGCAGCTATGACTGGTATGTAATCGTTTTATTGATTGTGTTTTAGTTACCAAAAGTTTCAAATTTACTAAATATATGAATTTAAGTCTAAAATAAATATTGTTTACATTGCGCATTTATCTGTTAGATTGAAAATGTAAGAAGGCGTGCGACCCCAACTTTTAATACTTTTGGATAGTCAAATTTATCATTGATTTTGAATCTGAATAAAAAATATACCTGTTAGGAATGTACTATTTCTACCTACGTACGCCAATCAAAAGTTTGTGTTTTATATTACTAAAATTATAGCATTAATTTGATCATTGTGGCGATTGCATTCTTCCTGCCAAATACCTATAGTTATTACATTTTCAAAGAAAACTTCATCATCATCAGCCCTTTTACGTCCCCGCTGCAGGGGCTCGGGCCTTCCTTATGGATGGTTAAGGAGTATGGGCTATGACCCTCCACGCTGGCCCAATGCGGATTGGAGGGTATTAACGACTGCAAATGCAGCCGGGACCAACAGCTTAACGTGCCTTCCGAAGCACGGAATAGCTCGAGATAATATTTTTTTTTTTTGGTCACCCATCCCGTGACCGACCCTTGCGAAAGTTGCTTAACGACAACGATCGTGGGCCGCGGCGCTTATCCAATACGCCACCGAGCTACACAATACTCCACCGAGCTTTTAAAACTTGCTTTCAGGAAAACCAGAAAGTATAGTGATACGTATTGCAGATGAAAGCTATAAAAATGGTGGCATATTTGAAACCCCTGGGAAACATAGATCAGGTCATCCTTAGAAAGAAATGGTTAACTGCAACATTTGTGCACTACGACAAAAGATTCAGTTCTTTTACTTTGTGAAAAAAAGAGGGACCTACATGAAGAAAACTTCAATTGATTGCCAAAACCGATCTGGATTTTAATTACTGTATTTTTATCTGGATTTTTAGGCAGACTGTATATAAGATCTAATGTTATTTACTTATACAAAACACCCACGTATTGTGAAAGGCTTAAATTATAAAGAAAACACTATCAAAAATTGCTTAAACCACGAAAACAATTGAAAAACACGTGTGTCAATCACTTCGAAAAACCCGAATCTAGCCTATTTAAGTTCAATATCGTAGTAAAAAAACTGACAGGAACTCTCGCGACTGACGCGCCATCTAGTGAGCGAAAAATGCCCCCTTATTCTGATATTCTGTAACCGAATAGACGTAACGTACTTTCAGTTCGATATGCATCGATCATTGGTGATTTTACTGTCTTATTTTTTATCAAATATTAAAGTGTGACAATCTTGTCCATCTATACGTTTTTAAAATTAAAACATTAAAGACATTTTTGATTGGAGGTCATCATTTAATATCAATTTCAAAAGCTGGTGGTAGCGTATATTGAACACTGCTTAGAAAAGCTGGTTAAAAATTTGATAGATGCATGTATCTATTTAGTCTACGAGATTAAAAAATAGACTATACATAAGGTGGTGGCAGTATGGTTTATTTATATTGTAAAACTGCATACTATAAAATGAAAAATACGAAAACAATATTATCGAACATTTATCATTACATAAGGTTACATAATACTTATGTATAAGGTATGTAGGCAAAATTAAAATTTGGTCATCCTTGTTCCACAAGAAATCAAGTATATCTATAAAGCTCAATTACCACTGACTGACTCACTGACTCACTCCATGCTTTTTTCGGGTAGAAGGAGTTGGTAAATGACGTTTTCATGTATGGAGAGTGACAATATTTTTTTTTTATGAGTTGAAATGGCATATCGGTACAGCCAAGAAACAAAATGGCGGCGAGATAATTTTTTTAGTTTCTACATTATTCGCTCTACGATTACGATATTCAAAATGGTCGTAGATTTAGCTAAAAAAATGACACTGAAAAAAGGTTTGATTAAAAAAACAAAATGGCGGCCGAGATATTTCACCTGGAAATTTGGCATTTTTCGACCTCTGTTCGGGCAATCGTCAATTGTTTTTCTGTGGGTTTGGAGGGGGGATTTTTGCTCTTTCAGCTCGGAAGTATAGTCGATTTTCACGTACGGGGAGTTTTCGCTTGCGTGTCAATATGGCGGCGGCGGTGGCGGCCATTTTGTTTCGGCAATGAAAAATCGCCATTTTCCGGTGAGATTTTCTCCAAGATGGCGGCGTCGGACGGATTCGCGTTTTATGGGCCGGTCGGGGGGCTCGGTAGGATCTCTCTACTTCACTACCTATTTCTACCATTTTCGTGGTAGTTTAGGAGATTTTGGGAGAAAAGTGAAATTTCGAAATACGCACTTTTCGCGGAAAACATACTCGATGCGGTGTGGCGCCGGGGGAGCCCTATGACTTTTGGTAGTTTTCGTTTCTGCGAGCTGACAACCCTGGGCTCCACGGTAGAAAACGTGTTTTTCGACATGCCCTCATAACCCGAATTGTTTGGGAACCTGGGTGGCCAGCGGAGAAAATCTGTGGATGAGATGTCGCGCCAAATATAGTCGTGACTATGGGAAAATTATGAAACTCGGGAAAATCAATATGGCGGCGGTGGCAGCGACCATTTTGTGATTTTTTCACTTTTTCGAAAAATTTAAACGCATTTTTAGCACACATGGCAACATCGGAGCTCTTCGCCTGGTATGGACCGGTCGTGAGTCTCCGCTGGCGCTTTCGAATGACGTGAAAATTTTCCCCGATTTTAGGGTAATTTTGGAGATTTACCCCAAAAAGTTAAAAAGTAGAAGGAGCCGTTTTGGGATTTCAAAAATGAATTTCCTCGACGGAGGGCACTCCCCGAAATGACATTTGTCCATTTTCATCGTCGACACCTGGCAACCCTGGTAGGAGCGGCGATTTGAAAAATTTTGCCCATTTTTTACTTTGTCGATTCTAGCGCAGTCGGTATTGCCACTAGGAAAATGGTAAAAAGTGCATCGGATGCGCTATCGAGTTGACCACATCGGTACGGAGCCGGATTTTCAAAATTCAAGATGGCGGCCAAACCAGCGGTCATTTTATCCGAAAAATTGGGTATCGTCACCACGTCGAGCCGATTTTGACGCACTTGGCGACATTTGTCAGACTACTTCCGGGGAAACAATTTTTAGGCAAGTAGCTGAGGTGTTGCCAGGTGAAAAAAAATCTTGAAAATTTTTGATACTTTATGAGATTTTTGGGGAAACACTTTTTGTCGAATTTTGAATTTTTTTCGATGCAAATATTTTAATTTAAACTTTTTAAGATACCCGATGGAAAAAATAGAACGATCGACTGGCAACACTGAGAGCAAACAACGTTTGAATTTCAACCTCGATTTTGACCGACTTGGCAACCCCGAAGGTATTTGGCATGTATAAAGCGATTGTGTATCTCTATAGACTCTTTCATATGGTGGAAAAAAATTACCCGATTTTAGGGTAGTTTTTAAGATTTACCCGAAAAACTGTAACTGTCAAAGGAATAATTTTAGAACTTGAAAATTGATATTCGACGATGGAGGGCGCATCCCGAAATCACATTTGACTATTTTTATCACCTTCACCTGGCAACCCCGCCTGCTACGGCAGTTTGAAAATTTAACGCCCA